GGGGATGGGGGGTGGGACTCAGTTCAAGGCCTCCCTTGGGAAAACCCAGTGTGCACAGGAACTGCTCCAGGAACAAGTGCAGAGCCCTTCCCTTAAAACAAGCACAGGCACCCCAGGCTTAAAATCCCCCAAACTCCCTGTGCACTCAGTTCATCCCTCGGCCGCTCGCACTCTCCCCCATCACAGCTGGAGTGGCTGGCATCCCGTCCACAGCCAGGCCCTACCTCAACCCTCTAACAGCCCTTTAGGGCTTGACTTCCCACATTGGGCACACATACCCCAAGGGGACTGCAGGTCCTGGGGGTGCATGGCAAGCTCTTACGGAGTTTTTGGTGGCTCTGTGTTTCCATATGTATGAAACAGATATAACTAGTACATCATGCTCATGGTATAATAGGTATTACTCCTTGGGATGAAATGAATTTATAAGAAAATCATTGGAAAAAGCATATGAAGTAAACAATAGGACAGAGGGACACGGGTGTGTGTGTGTGTTTTTTTTATAAATCATGTGGGCTGTGTGTGTGTGTGTGTGTGTCGGGGTGGGGGGGTTGGGAACCACTAGCCCACAGGTGTTGTTTGGCAAATGAGTCTTAGCAGAATTGGGCCACCAGCCAAGGCTGTAGCCATCCAGCCAACAGGTATGGAGTGGCCCAGACTGACCAGCTGTGGCACCCTCCCCCTCCCCCTCTCTTCACACTTACTGCCCAGGAGGCTCTGTTCCATCTGTGGTTCAGAGCAGGGATGGGGGGTGTAACTTTGCCCTCAGGGACATTGGCAAGGACTGGAGACAACTCGGGGAGGGGAGGAGGTGCCTTGGCATTGGGGGAAGAGTGCAGGGAGGCGCTAAGCACCCCAAGTGCAGGACGGCCTGAATGTCAGGTTGAGGCACCTTGTGCCAGACCTGTGTCTGCTGATGAGGGACCAGGCTCTGTGATATGTCAGAGGAAAGTGCACAGCATTGAGCCCATGAAACGCGCCGGAAGGCTCTACAACAGGCGAGGTTACTTCTGTGGGTGATGAGCTTCTCACTTTAACGGCACTGAATGTTTCCAACGTCTGCACAGAGGAAGGCAACGCTGGTCAGACAGGACCACAGTGTGGGGCTGAACGCGGAGCACCACCACCCAGCCGGGCCACCCAGCTCAACGTGCGGGCAGAGAGCCGATGCTCTTTTTAAAATTATATTTCCTTTAACTGACTTCAGAGGGAGACAGGAACATCAATGATGGGAGAGAATCATTGATTGGCTGCTCCTGCACGTCCCCCACTAGGGATGAAGCCTGCAACCCGGGCATGTGCCCTGACCTGGAATCGAACCGTGACCTCCTGGTTCATAGGTCAAGGCTCAACCACTGAGCCACACTGGCTGGGCTGGAGCTTCTTATTTTTAATTAAAAAATTGTAATGTTGACATCATTGCAGGGTCCCCTCCACCCCCTTAGCCCACCTCCACCCTTCCTGCCTCCCCCTCCCTTGGCCTTCTCACACTATTGCCCGTGTCCATGGGGCATGCACATATGTCCCGGAGCGAATCCCTTCACCTCCTTTGCCTATAAAATACCGTGAAAACAGCCTCATTACTAGCCTGGCCCCGTGTGGAAGGCGATGTGTAGTGAATGGAGATGGGCCTCAGTGGGTTCCCAGCAGAGTGTGGGGTCGCTTGGTGAGCCAAGCGCACTGTCCTCTCCAGGCAACAGAGCCCCTGTCAGCGGCGGTGCCTACAGCCTGGAGCTGGTGTGCGGAGCTCCGGGGGCCCCGGAGCCCCCCCTCTGCTTTGACCCCTGCCAGAACTACACCCGCCTGGACGACCCCTCGCGAAGCTCAGAGGTCACGGAAAGAGCCAAGAAGTGTGACCGGGACCTGCGTGGCTGGTTTCGCTTTGTGGGAGAAGGAGGCACAAGGATGCCGGAGACCTGTGTGCCCATGTACAGGTGCCAGACGGAGGCGCCCATGTGGCTGCAGGGGACCCACCCAACCCTGGGGCAGGGCGTCGTGACCCGCACTGCCTGTGCCCACTGGTCCGACAACTGCTGCTCCTGGAAGGCTGAGGTTCAGGTGGCAGCCTGCCCGGGGGGGTACCACGTGTACCGGCTGGAGAGCACCCCTTCGTGTAACCTGAGATACTGCACAGGTGAGTGGCCATGACCTCAGGGGCAGCCAGGGGCAGGGCTACCTTGAGATGCCGGGAGCTGGGAGCCGGTGGAGCTGGTGGGAGGAGGCCCCGCAAAGCAGCCTGTCTCTGCCCAGCCCAAGAGTCGCCCCGGGTGTCAGCAACTCCTCCGGCATCTCAACAAAACCTGACCTTCAGACTCCAGGGGGAGTTGCTGGCATCAGTTTCCCTGATCCTCAAAGTAGGGTGCTCTCATGAACCCTTTCATGGGCCGAGCGAGGTCAAGCACAGGAGCAGTGACTGTGAATGTAGGTGGGGACAGTTTGGCACCTTCCCAGACCCCAATAACCACCAAACCACACCCTACGCCCGGTTGGGCCAGTGCCTGCTGGGCATCACACTCCCAGCTCACGCAGCATCTCAGGTGCCTCAGCCACGGGCCCACACCATCAGTGAGAGCGAGCCCGGTACTCACAGACACTGGCCTGGCTCCGCGGCCGGAGGCCTAGGGCTGAGAAAGGGTCCTGGGGAGCGTGGCGGGCCACCCTGGCGCCCGGGGTGCTCTGCTCTGCAGTGGCTGCTGCAAAGCACATGCTGGCCACTCTTTTTAATTTTGCAAAAGAAATGAGATTACTCTCTGTAAGGGAACACGGGTATGACGTGCATCCCGTGTGCAGCTCAATGCTCAGCACTCAGGCAAGTGTGGGCACAGGTTCCACGCAGACAGTTTGATTGACTTCTCTGAGCTTCAGTTTTCTGATCTAAAAAAAAAAAAAAAAATGATGAGAAAAATAACAACTCATGCATAGGGCTTCCCATGTCCTTGCCGCGATCCTAAGCCCTTGAGTTACTCATGGACCCACTTGTCACCTCATGAGGTGACGATGCTCTGGGCACAGAGAGGTCAAGCGGCGCTCCTCAGGCCACAGAGCTGGGACTGGAACACGGCGTCTGCCACCACACACCCCGTCCCCAGGCACCCGGAGACCCGCATGAGCTGACGCGTGGAAACCTCTCGAAGTGTCTGCCCGTTGGCAGCATTAAGACGGCAGCTTCGGGCTCTTGCCTCGCTGGCTGGGGGTCAGGAAGCTCCGGGCTGGGGGCTGGCTCCTCCACGAAGAGCTGCAGTCCTGGGCAGGTCCTCTGTGCCCGGGTGGAGTGACAAGGCTGGCGTGGAGGTGAGGTCCCCCTGCTCCACGTCCTGACCCCCCTCGGCCTCCATGCAGACCCGTCCACAGCGGAGACCAAGTGCGACAATGCCTGCCGCCCCGAGGAGGAGTGCACCTTCCTCAACGGCACCTGGGGCTGTGCCTGCAGACGGGACCTCAACAGCTCCGGTGAGCGTCAGTGGCAGGGCCGCAGGGGCCAGGCCAAGGGGGTGGGGAGAGCCCACCTGAGCAGGTCCAGGGGCAGGGAGGCTTCAGAGGGTGAGGACCAGGGGTGCACCCATCCATGGGGATGAAGCCACGGCCAGGGAGTGGGCGTTCTCAGAGCGGGGGAGGCAGGGTGGGCGGGCAGGGTTGCAATACCTCCAGGCCTCGGGAAGCAGCCCTTGCATGAGCGAGCTTGGCCCACGGGGACAAAGGTGCTGAGGACGACAGGTGTGGGAGCTGCACCGAAATTTCTAGTCCACACACGAGGGACATGGGCAGACTCCTGTGCTGGGGCTTCCCACGGAGTAGCTCTGGGGCCGGGGACAAGTCCCCTACGCTCTCTGAGCCCTCAGGCCTCATCTGTGAAGACGGGCAGCTGTGAGTAAAACACTCCAGACACAGCAGAAGCAGAGGGCCCAGGGGAACGATGCCACAGACAAGCCTTAATCTCCTGAAAGACTTTAACCAGGGCCTCTGGCCCTGCCCTCCACACAGCATGCCCATCCCTAGGAAGAGAGTGTTCTAAGCAGCAGGACAGAGGGAGCAGAGCCCATGGGAAAGCTGACTGAGTGCAGAGGAGGAGGGGGAGG